CCCACCCCCCGCTCCCCTCAGCGGGCGCCCCCTCCTCGCCGCCCGGCACCGGGCAGCAGCCCCTCCGGCCCCGGCTTGCTGCGACAGCCCTGCCCGCGCGAGGCACCGGCACGAGGCTGCGTTCAGGCCTCACTTTGCAGGGAAGCATGTAGGGGCCTCTGCTTTCCTGCACCAGAGCGTCGGCATTAGCTCCCGGGCAGGAAAAGCCTAGCTGCCAGCCGGCTGCCTTCAGTGTCCTTGCACCTGTTAAGAACAGGGCAGTGGCTCGTAGCGTTGAATACATTGTCGTCTCATTACTGTTAGGCTGAGCCACAGCTGCAAACTCACCATCACCCTTCAATAAACCTCCTATCCCAGCCACCTCTTCTCTCCATATTTGCTTGGAGTGCTAATAAAAGGACTTTATATTACATGAAAATAGGCCACATTCAAGGAATGTGAAGGTTGTAACGTTAAGCACGTAGAAACACAAACACGGATGCAGTTTGGCCGGCGTGTGTATGCCCTGTGGTATGGATTTCAGCTACAATATTACTTGCTTTTTTTTTTTTTTTCACTGAGGAACCGCTTGCTTCATTTCCCAACCCAGCTAGCAGCTCTACCTAAGCCTGGAGATTATAAATAAAAATAGGAAGGAAATGTTGACAAGTGACAGAAATAAATAAAGCCCTGTTTGTAACCCACAAACTCACCCTGCGCACCAGGCTGGATTTGGACTGCGGCTCCTTGCCAGTCAGATCTATGAAGCTAGTAGCAGAAGCAGTGGCTCTGGCAGAGGCTGCAGGGCAAACAGTGACTGTGGGCCAAGCCACTTGCTGTGGCAGTGGCAAGATAATGACGGCTAAGCAGCTGCAAGGTGAGCCGGGCTGCATGGGCACAGTCCTCACTTGCCCCTGCTGCTGCCAACAGCCACGTCTGATGGGAGTGTGGATTCTGTGGTGCCCCCGACTAGCCTGGCTTCCAAATTCCCTGGCCACCACGAGCTGGACATAGCAGCTCCATGGATTGTACGGTTAACACTCATGGTATGCTATGATGATAGGGAAGTAAGGCAGAAAGGGACCCCAGAAGGCCACCTAGTCCTGCGCAAGGCAGGATCATCCCAGCAGAAATCTCTCAGCCAGGTCTCTCTCTAACCTGCTCTTGGCAGTTTCCAGGGTAGCGATTCCATAACCTCTCCAGGTAGTTTGTTCCAATCCTTAACCACCCTCATAGTTAGAAAGTTTTTTTTCTAATTTGTAGCCTAAATTTCTACTGCTGTAATTGGGAGCCTTTGCTTCTAGTTCTGTTCCATGGAGCTATGGAGAACAGTCTCATCTCCATCCTTTTTATAGTCAATTTTCAGGTATTTAAAGGCTGTTATTAATATAATTCAGTCGTATTTCTGGAAATGTCTACATACATACCTGCTCTAAAACCCAACTTTATTTAAATTTTTAACCTTGAGTTGCCACTTAATTTCAACACTAGAAAATGCTATTTAACAATTACTCTTATTTTAAAAGAAAAAAAAAAAACAAGTAGCTTGACAGAATGAAATCTTTCATCACATTTTATTTAGGAAGAGCAGGACACTAAGATTAAAAAACACAAAAATTGAGTCTTTAAGAAGATAGGAAGAAAGTGTCTTTCACTGGAAGGGAATGGCAGCATGCCTAGCTCTGTGTTAAATAGACTGATGTTATAAATGCAGTACTATTTCTCTGTGGTATTGAACACAAAGAACTGGGTACAGGTTAGGAGTTCTTTAACTAAATGCAAGTTTCTGTATTAGCTTTATTATTCAGGAAGTGCATCCAAAGTAAACTCCTTTTAAGGTAAACAGGTTCCTATTTCCTTCTACTTTATTGGTCTTATTTCCCCCCTTTGTGTGCCAATCCAAGTCTTTAAAGGCTTAGACCTAGTCTTTTTGAAGTCTCCAATCTAATTCAATGAAGCAAGGCTCTCACTGAAGGGTTCTCCTTCCTCACAGGATTATATTAGGTGTTAAATACAGTGCCAGTCCACAGGCTGGATCAGCCCATAGATTCCCCTCCCTGGCTGTATGCTGGATTCAGCACATGGGGTGCCTGCCCCAGCCGCTCCAGGATCTACACTACATATGGTGTCCCCTGAGCTGGTGTGGGATGCATACTGCATGCCAGTGTCTGGGACTTGCCCAGTATGCAGAGCCTACAGTACAGATATTGGACTGGTTGGAGTGAGCACCATCTATAGCATAGTCCCAGACCAGCCTGGGGGAGTGCTATATATGGTGCAGATCCCAAACTGACCAGGGCAGGCTTTTCATGGAGCACGTGTCCCAGGCCCCATGTGCAGGGCTGGTCTGACATGCACTGTATATAGCTCATGGGTCAGCTCAGACCCAGGGGCACAATGGAGGCTGAATGACAGGCTCTGTGGGCCACATCTAGTTCATAGCCCATACCTTTATCACCCCTGCCCTAAATCTTATTGTTCAGTGTATGTCTAGGGTTTGTATTACTATTGTTTTTGCAATACAATTCCTAGAGATTGCTAATCAGGTCCAAGATAATGTTCTGAAGTATATTTAGTTCTTCCTTTGTGGAAGTGATAATTAAAAGCCTTTATTTAAATACAGTAGATTCTTTGCAGACTTGCAGTAAGTGTATTTCCTTTAAACCCTTCAGGTAAACTTTATGACAGAATTATCTTGTAATTTTAGGCAACTGAATGCAGAATTAGAAGCAAAAACAGCAGATTTGGTACGTCAGGCTGAAGAAGTAATGGTAAGTTATGTGACTATTCTTGCACAATTCGGTTCTAGGTCTAGAGGGTAAAATCTCAGAAAAATAGTTTTCCTTGCTTTTGCAAGAAAAACAAACTTATGGGGAAATTAGCCTTAGACTAATGCAGGTAGATGTTTTAAATCCATTGCAGCAGTGATATCTTATTGAAAGTAATTATAAACAAAACCAGCTTGACTGATTTTCATTGTCCACACAGAAATAGAGAGAGCAAGTAGCCTAAATAGAAAAGGTGCATTTAGTAAGAGAGAAACATTTTTTTAAAAGCAACATTTTTAACATAGTTAAAACTTCTATTAACATTGATGAGGAGCTGAACCAAGCAGATTGGAATTTAATAGAGATTGGCAAAACTAATTATGGCCTCATGTACATAAAAAACAACCCTCTACCCATTTCATAAAAAGAACACATCAGTATTAATCTAGCAGGAATGCAGACAGCTACATTTTGCCAACCAAACAGAATGTCAATATGATTAATTCAGTCCAAATTAAATGTACATATATATCTTAAATGATAAAAATAACTCAACTTGTTATTTTTGTTGCATAACCTGGAAAATAGGATACTTGCTCCACCTCGTGTGCAAATATCTATAGTATATGCATAGAGACAGGATACTTTCAGTTTTCTTAGGTGATCTTAAAGCTTGGAAAGAGTAAGTTATATACATATACCTTTTTAAGTGTGGAAGAAAACAATTGAGGCTCTAAGTGATATTTTAAGATTGGTCTTAACTTCTGGTACTTTGAATAAAACAATTTATCTTCTATTGTAGCTTCTTTCTGTACATCTCTTATATGTGGAAAGCTATAATACTTGTGACAGAATTATCCTGTCCTTTGCTGGAAAAGTGGCAGTGATTAAGGCTGTGATACTGATGATTATTTTATATACAGCAATTGTATTGATTTATTTGACATTTTACCAATTATAGTTTGTAGGGCACAGACACTATTTTCCATTAATAGAAAATTTTTCTTCTGTTAAAGAGGGATCAACAAGAGATACTATCTAGACCAGTTTCAACACAGGCCAAGTCATATGAAGAAGACAATTGCCATCTGAGGTAAATGCTGTATACTTTTAAATATTGGCGATTGTTATCTGCAGTTGATAATTGAGTCTTCGGGTCTGCTTATGCAAACCCTGACTTGCAGAAATAATCTTACAGACTTTGTTAGACCCCCTTGAGGAAGCAGGATTCACTCATGGTTAAGAGTTTGCACAATTGGATCACTATATTGCAAAGTAAGCTGGAGTGCAGCAGTTTCAGAATGTCATTCTTCCAAGTTCTTCAACAACTATCCATTTGGCTTATTCAGGGGCGAAACTGTGGGCTTTCAAAGATCCTGTGAATTTATTTTTCAGTGAAACCATCATCTTTTTGCTGCATCTAGATGAAAGCAAGAGAATGGACCATAAAGAGGATAAAGTAGCTAACAAAAACTATTCCTGATAAGGTGTCAAAGCAATGGCTCTTTAGAATGTACTATGTAGAATATCAGAGTTAGCAAATATTTTAGAATATTGTTTCTTATTGAATTTCTGTAGAATAGGGATAGTGGAGTAGAAAGTACTTGATGTCTAAGTAAACATACTGATGCGCAATATAATGTTACTTCTTTGGTGCTCAAGCTGAAAATATTATAAATAATCTGCTAGGCAGTGTTGATTGGTGTCTGTAAGAACACAACTCAAATTTACTGAGTTTGTTTGGAACATGTTATGATTTAGCAGCAGATGTTCTAACCCAGCGGAGGCCAACCTTTTAGGCAGGCATGCCACAAATTACCCCCACACTGTTCCTGATTGCCACTCTAATCCCCTTCCCTTGTCCAATCTGCTGCTTTGCTTTGTCTTCCTAGTCTTGTGCTCTCTGCTCAGTCTGCTATTTTGCTTTCTGCTTCATGTCATATCTGTTATTGTACTGGCCATCCCCTCCCTGATCTACTGTAGTGCTCACACATGTAGATGCCACACATCCATGCCTCAAATTGGGCACCCCAGTTCCAAGCCAATTTAATTAACAAAAAATTTGGCTATTATGGATTATTTAGAGGACACCTGGCATGGCCTTGGTACATTTGGGACTGGATATGTTCACCCAGAAACTTAGAGACATCTAGGTATCACCCTGTGGAATTTGGATGTTATGCATTACAGCAACTGGCATTATAAACTAGAATTCACCTTTGGCTGATATATTAAAATCAGCTGGTACAGAGTTTACTAATAACATTTCTGTGTATATAATTGCTCCATTGGGCAAATGCCAAAAAATCACTGGAGTAACTGGAAATAGTATTTGGATTTAACATACATTAGAGACGGTGTATCAAAAAATCCCAAACTGATCAGAATCCAAGTTTAAATTGCTATTGATCTTGAATTCAGTGTCACACAAACTTCATATTGAGCTCCGATTTTTTAATTAATTTTTCATGGCACTTGGTTGAGAGTTTGCTTTCAGTGATTACTTAGTTTTAATCTGCATGGGCATGTGAATAAAGCAAGAAGTTAGGTCTTCTTTAGACTTGAAAGGGGCTGCAAGCGTGGATGTACTTAGATGTTTACCAGCAAATCCCAGTAGTGGAGATGCTGCTTAAACAAGCAAAGGACTTTGCCAGTATAGCTGTGTTTGTAATAAAACACTTGTCAGCCTAATTGTGTTGATCAGGGGGTGGGAAGGAAATATTCAGGTAACTCTTAATTATGAAACCAGGTTTTAGTCTTCTGCCCTGTGATATGGATCTTTAAAGTTAGAGCAAGTATTAATTTAATAGTTCTCAGACTAGTTTCATAGTTGTAGTTGTTAAGCAACATAACTATAAGAAACCATCATAACATGACAACTTTGGTAGTGACTATTTGTGAGGAAAAATTAAGAGTTGGAAGAGTTAGGAAAACATCAATAAACCAGTAATCCTACCTTTTTTTTTTTTTTTAGCACCTTCAGATTTCAATTAGGATTAGGGCTTTGTGCTAGGATGTGTATAGAAGTAGATGCAATTGCTGCCCTAATAAAAAGAGTTTAAGAGCTAGATCTACTAAATGAGTTACGAGTAAATTCAGATTTCCAAAGATGACTAAAGAATACTGTTTTAACCTTACACATGATGAGACTGCTTGCAATGTAGGTAGGACCTCAAGGAGCTTTTCCCATATATTTTGTGCCTGTGTGCAACACCAAGGTAGAGCCTGGTTCCTGTACTCCCCAACTTCAATAGCTACTGCTTCCTAGCACTGTCTAGGGCTATATATCAGTAAAAGGCATGAGGGAACATACTGAAGCGGTGACCTAAAACACAGCTGATACCTGTTACATAGCTAATTAATGTCCCCTCCCCAGTTAAAGCAACCACTATATATGCTCCATTAAATGTTTAACTGAAAGAGAGAACCCCATGCAGAAGTGAAAGGCTTAAAAACTATTGATATTGTAAAAGCTAGGCATTGATATTTATACTCTGAAAGCTAGGCTTTAGAGACAGTTATTATTCCAGGCTGATAATCTATTCTACTTTAAATAAATGTCCTCAAATTGTACTTTTCAAAACAGGTGATTCTCTTGCGGCGGGGGCGGGGGGAACACATTCAAAGTTGAAGGGCAAATGCAGCACTAGAAAATCATTATGAGGGTGCAGGCCTTTATTTTTGATGGTGGTCATTCTTTTAAATGTGAGTTTTTAACAGAAAAAAAGAGAGTGAGAAAAGGTGACAGAACAGTCAGAAAGAAAATAGGGTGAGGGAGAATAGTTAAGATGAGCCTACATGCATTTTTCTTTTTTTCAAGCTATTTCCAGAATCATCTTAGTATTTTATTGCATAGACTTTCCTTAAATTATCAATATTTTACATATAGAAACAAAGCAGCTCTTAGATTACAGGATAAGCTTTTGTTTATAGTACTTTTACTTTTCAGGGCATAGCCAGGCATACAGGGGTGGGGACTGAGCGTGCGCGTGCATGGACAGATACACTACAGGGTTTGAATAGGATTAGTGAACACAAAGGATTTGCTCATGCACGCGCATCTTATGTTTACATGCAGGGAAGCGATCATTAAACGTCAGCTACAGTCTTGATTTGACCACACCAGTCTAGCAACCAAGCTGAGAACCTTTTTTAGGCTCATGCACTTAAATTTTACTTTCTGAATGATTTGTAGAGTTGTCACTTCCTGAAAATTTAAAGAATGGGGTGGCAGGTAAACAGGGGAGTTTGAAGGGTCCTTTTAAGATTGATTAGCAAACTTAATATTTGTTTAGAATGCCCAAGAAGAAATTCACATGCTGGTAAAAGTAATGTCCTTGTTTTTTAGAAAACAGTACTGTTGTATTTTAATCTTCACAAGCACTGTGTAATGGAGTATTTCTTGCAACAGCCCTGGAGAAAGGCATGGATTTTACTCTTCTGCATATGATTATAGCTAGCCAATAGGATGGGAGTTGTGAGGGAAAACAGGACAGAAAAACAAAAACTGCTAATCTGTTTTTGAATGCCTGTTGCCCCCACCCTGACCATTTGATACTGGCATCATGTTTAGAAAGATAGTCAGATCAGAACTTTTAAAATAAATTATAGTCTTACATTGGAAAGCCATGTTCAGAAGGGTTCTTTAATTTCTTGGATTAACAGTATCTGGCATACCGTGCAGATAATTCCCTTTGGTAGTTTTGAACGTATATGCAGTTCCTATTCAAGTAGGGTGTGCATAGAGACCTATTATTGTCTGGATTAGAAGTAGAAGGATAAGAACAGAGCTAAATTTTTGCTCAAACCTTTTGTTAATGATAAAAAGTATGGTATAAAACATAACCCTCCTTCATTTGAAACAATTGCAAGTAGAAGATAAATGTCTTTTTGTGTGGAAAATAGATACATCTCACTCTGGACCATTCATCTGTAACAATAATTATCTATTAAAAAAGCCAACTTCAATAAACTAACAAGGATTTTATAGAGTCTTGACAGAAATGTAGACATGGGGCGTGTCTACATGTCGCTGTATGGCTACAGCATTGCTATGGCACTGTGCAGTATGGGCAGTTATTGTGCCATGCATACACAGCACACAGTTAAATTTCACTGCTCTGTCACCATAGTGGTGTTCTATACTGGGGGAGCGCACCAGTATGGCATCATAGCTACCAATCATGTGTAGACCCCTGTTTAATTATTTAGACAAAGTGGGACATCTCAGACAGGAGAAACTGAGAGTACTCCAGTAAAAAAGCCAGTGGCTTCGTTGGTAGGGCACTCAGTTGGGCCATGGACCACATAATTTTGTTCCCTTTATGATTCTTTTTTTTTCAAGATCAAAAGCCATTGCCAGATCTTCAAGAAAAAGGAAATCATGACCATATCTACACGTCACCCTATGAAACTATGATCACTGTGTCGCTGCAGTGCACCATAGGGTGACGTGTAGATGTGGTCATGATTTCCTTTTTCTTGAAGATCTGGCAATCGTTTTTGATCTTGAAAAAAAAAAGAATCATAATGGGAACAAAATCATATGGTCCATGGTCCAACTGAGTGCCCTACCAACCAAGCCACTGGCTGTTTTACTGGAGTACTCTCAGTTTCTCCTGTCTGAGATGTCCCACTTTGTCTAAATAATTAAATATTAAGTGGGCCAGGGAAAGACATACTCTATAGCCAAGTGATTAGGGCACCCAGGTTTTTGCAAACTAGATTCAAACCCTTTCTCGGGTGAAACTTTATCTATAAAAAATGAAATGGCTCCAGTGGAAGAGGCCCAACCTAAAATAGGTTTTTAGGGTACTCACTAGAGATAAAGGAGAATGACAGAGTAAAGCCTTGAATCTGGGTTTTTCACATACCAGGTGAGTGCCATGTATATCTAGCTGCTTGAGAAGTCAGGATCTTTGGGATTCTATTCTTGTTTTGCCACTGACTTGCCAAATGGCCTTTCATTGGTCACTTAAACTTGGTGCCTTATTTTTCTCATTGGTAGAATAGACCTATTACAGTGCTCATCTACAGTGTTCAGGTATTAATTAATTTATATAAATAATTTATGAAGCTAGGATTAAACATTCCAAAGGGTCCAAGAATCTTTCCAATGGAAGCTTTGTTAAAATCAATATACTCCATGAAAAGCTTCACATTTCAATTAATCTGTATTTTCCAAATTCCACTTAGTTCTCAGTGGGAACCCAGCTTAGTAAAAATTCAGTTTGTCAGGAGTTTATTATATTTTATTTAATGTTATCTATTTTTGTCCTCTGTGTGTGTGTGTGTGTGTGTGTGTGTGTACACCTACACACACACATACAATACCAGAATAAAATATCATGGGTCATTTAGGATTTTTAGGAGTTTACTTTCATTTATTTTTGTCTGCAGAAATGTGCTTTTTCCTGAAGAGCCAACTCTTACACTTGTACACATTAAGGTACTGATATAGAATTTTCTCTGTCAATTTTTCTCTTTTAATATAATTGCCAGATAGTATAGGCTCAAAAATGGTATCCGTACCTAGGTCTTGTGTGAGAATATCTGTATGGTGTTTAGAGAAAATCTGGAAAGAGGACCACTTTGTTTCTATTTTTGCTTTGCAACTGACTTTCAAGGTGGTCTTTTATCGATCATTTAACTTCTATGAATTACTTACCTCCTCTGTTAAACAGTCCCACTACACAACTGAAGTATTCAGTCATGAATGTGTTTCAGGCACTTCACGAGTTTCAGATTAAGTTGTAAACCATTAAAATATGGAACTCTGTATTTTTCTTCCTTTGTACAGAGGTGATTAGCCACCTTAGTTTGAAGTCAGGCAGAAGGTAGGACAGGGTGGCAACTTAGCTACTAATGTTTGAGACGGGTACAAGCTTTTGAAGGCAATAACCTACTTTATGAGATAGATGCTAAGAATGTTTGTCTAGCATCTGACAAAGTAGGTTATTGCTTATGAGAGCTGATGTCTCTCTAAGTCACTTAGCCTCTAAGGTGCCTTACCTTTTGCCTTTGTAGAAATTTTGTCTGTATTTTTAATCTTATCTCAGTGTTACATTAATGGTAATGCTATTGTCATTTTTCAATTAAAGTCCTCTTTTGAAAGAAAATAATGGGCAAAATAATATATATAAAAGGGGGGGAAAGATACGCAAGCTTAGGAACAAGTTGACAGACTTAGTATCCTTTTTAACTAATTATACTGCCTCCTTTTAGGGATTCAGTTAAGGTTTCTACAGTGGGGGTTTTTTTTCTATTACCCCCCCAACCAAAACAAAACACAATAAAGAAAGTTGTTTTTGGAGAAGCTTAATTTTCAAGGCTTACTCCCAAATTAAATAAGTTAATCATAAAATATGGACCTAGAAAAAGTAGATTTGTACAACTTTCATTGATGATTTTATTTAAAAGGAGAGATGATCTCAGTCAACAGCAGTGTATTCTGTTACTTGAAAGATGCTTTAGAAGTAAAGAGACAGTATGTGACAAATACAACCTAAAAGCCTAGGCTAAGTAACATTACTGATTTAGGTGTAGTACATTAACAATGACAGACTGTATGTTAACAGGTTTTTAATATTTGTGTCCCTTATGTACTTATTTTTAATAGAATTGTTTGTGCAAGGCAGTTGTGTGTACAAATAGCTATTTAGGCTTGTAGTCATTTGCCCACTCAGATACCAGACTTGCACATATGATAGCAGTAAAATCATGAACAAATTGGGTGAAAAATAATGTGCTCTTTCATGCTCCTCAGATGCATTTAAAAAAAAAATCATACTATTTAAAGTATTTGTGTAACTGTCCGAGTCCAAAGACAAGAAAATGGCAAAATAGCTATGCTAGAAAAATGTAGTGTTTTTTATTAGTCAGGAGTGTATTTATGAAAAAAAATTTCCTAGCAACCAAACAAGAAGAAATCTAGTCCCATGCCTACAGCTCGGAACAGATCACACTCTGGAAGTAAGGAAAGGAGAACAACTTTGAGGTAAGTCAGTTGTACATTCTGATTTCCATCTTCTGCTAATGAAATCCTAAGCATTTTGATTGCTGTTTCTGTATCTATTAACAAGTCTCACACAATTTGATACAAGAATGTTTAATGTTGGAACCTGTTCTGAAGTGACTTTTTTTATATTTAGTTTGCACTTGCCTGCATAAAGCAACTTGAAATCTTAAGGGAATGTCCATGTTCAGCACCACAGCAGTACTCTATGGTTTACTGCAAATTTAAGGCCAAGAACTTTGTCAGAGTGCGATTTAAATTCTGTGGCTCAGTAAACAACGACTAGAACTGTACTTGAACATGCTAAGAAGCAAGGTTACTAGAGGCATCTTGGGTGCTCACACTTGAATAGTGCAAATTAGAGTCACTTAACCAGATAAGGGGAAAAGTAAGGCCTCTAGGGTCTCAGAAGGATCTATTCACATATTTTAACATGCTAATTATAGTGGTATATTGGTGAATCTTGCGTTCAAAACAAGCAGGAGGCCAAAATGGGACAAAATTAAGTGCCATTTTTCACACGATGAGAAGTTTCAGAGTGATGCTCTGATGCAGGGTAACCAGTGAAGGGGTACAAGGGAGTATAGTCTTTGGAACTCACTGTTGAAGGAGGTTACCATGATAAGGTTGCCTTCTATATCCTGCTGCTTTCAGAGCAATGTGTAATGCTCATTTCTTCAATTCAGCTTTCATACAATCACAATAAAATGAGCCACAAAGAAGCTGGGGGGGGAGATGAGAAAGAAAAGAAAATTGAAAATTGTCCCAGTTGCTTTACAAGACTAGGAAAGAAATTAGTCCATTATCCTTATTCTCCATGTAAAGTGGTAATGGCACAGTACAAAACTTAGAAAGGGAGTGACAAGTAATATTTTAAGCAGTGGAAGAATAAAACTGATACCATATTTATTCAAATTAGAAGGCAAGGTTCCCCCCCCAATTTAACATAGGAAAAATAGCTCCTTATCTTACTATCAAGTATGAGGCAGCAGGGGGCAGGTAGCAGATGTGGTCTGGCTCTGGCCTCATCCCAGGACCAGGGAGTGAGGGGCACCAGTGCGGGTGGAGGGCTGTGGGTTGGGAGTGAGGGGCATCGGCAGGGCCAAGGGGCTGTGGGGTCAGGAGTGAGGGGCACTGGCAGGGTAGGGGGGGTTATGGCTTGGGAGTCAGGGGCAGGGGCAGGGCACTGGCATATCAGGGCTGCTCAGTACCACAAAGTAGCTGGTGGGGGCAGGGGGATTTTCATGATAAAATAATCAAAATCAAATGCCAAAATATGTAGGTATTTAGAATTTATTTTATTATAATGATTGAGGTACCAGTAAGCTTCTAAATTGCTTTAAAAAATTAAATATATTAATAAAACATTTTGTTCAACTGATACCTATATATATGGTGGCATTTCATTATAATCGTGGAAAAAATGTGGATTTGGGGGGTTTAATCAGAAAAATTTGGGATTTTTAAACAGAAAACCAGTATCCCTGATGATGACCAATTTAAGGCAGATGAAACTAACTTTCCTTTTTATTCAGCCATTGTTGCAATTTAAGATGTCCTAAGGAGGGCCTTCCTCCTCTTTTCAAGACTAAATGATCACAGCCATGGCAGTCTTCTGTCACTAAAAACACAGATGTTCAATACTGTTGTTATGTAGAATTTGAATGAAAGGGTTTTATTTTTCTTTTACTCTGAATTAGCCATGAAGGGTGCCTGCAGACATGCAAGTATGCTGCTCTGATACACTGTAAGTAGTGTGTTGGAGCAGATGCAATTAATCAAGTCTGCTAGAGTGTGTTAATTAGCATGCTCCAGCAGCCTCTACACCCCGTGTATTCAGCATCCTCGTGCTTCAAAATGGTGGTGGGGGTGCTTTAACTAAAACTTGTCAAACAAGCTTTAGTTAAAATGTCCCCACCACCATTTTGAAGCACAGGACACTGAATACATGAGACACTGCAGACGCTTTAATTAAAGAGCCGGTCTTGGAGCCTGTCTAATTAAAGAACCCCTCTTCCCCCCACCCTGCCAGAAGCAAGTGTAAAGACACCCTATGTTCCATAGTATAGAACAGGATATTTTTTTTCCTATCAGTTCTTGAATATTTTGAATACAGTAAAGATATTTTTGGTAGAAGTGAAGAAACTTGGCATCATTATATCTTTAGTACTAATGTAAAAAAGTGAAGTAAAGGACTACTTACAGTGTTATGGACACTTACAGATATGACTGGCAGTTTCAATATTTTGATGATTTTTTGTATTATAAAAAATATAAAAATTTCTTTCTGTGGATTTTTAGTGAAAAATTAAGAAACACTGAAATACAAGCTGCTGATGATGTTGCAATCCCAGAGGACTATACAGATTTTTCCCTCGCAAAAACAATTAGCAAAATCGAAGGAAAATTGGAGGAAGGAAACCTGCCTGATAATTTAGATGACGATATTCTTCCATGTGTAGGAAGTAAAATCGGAGTGGGTAGGTTGTCTCCCATGTATGTCCTTTTCTTTATGCTTCCTTACTATTAAAATAGGATTTCTGAATAATGTGATCTCATTCCTAAAAGGATTTTAGGAGGAAGTTCTTTTATTCTTAAATTATGCCCAGTTTTAAGGGAAAGGGCAGAAAAAGAGGGATTCTGTCTTTTGTGTTTTACTTGAGGATAACATAGGTCACAAATAAACTAATATGGGCCGAATGGGTTGCATTTCCATTGCACGAAATCTCTCTTACCTTTACTATTCAGCCATGCACCATCCTTTTCTAGAAGGATGGCATGCAAGGTGCTTTGTGACAAACTTACAAATTAAAATATCATTATTGACTATCCTGAGAGTTGCAAATAAATAGCCAAGGTGAGGATTTAGTTTTAAGCTTGTAATTCCAGAAGATAAGCTTTAAAGCTTTACACAGCTTCTGCCTTTAGGGCAAATCCTTTCATCAGATCCATCCTGTGGATCTTGGATAAGTGGCTTAAATGAAGTAATGTTTTGGCCACCGTGCTGAAATGAGGAGCTATTGGATCCTTCCATATACCAAATGGTGATTTTATGTTGGTCCTAGAAATAGGACATGAGAGGGGATTGCAGCCTTTTGTAAGTGAAGCTAAAGGAATGATGAACATCTGCCTTTTTGGCTGGGCTGTGGTATGATACAAGCTAGAAGTATGTTTCCCAAACTCAAACATAAATGTATTTTGGAGAATGTTAGAACCATATCTTGTACATTCAGACTAAAGAAAGGAGTTAATTCAATGTCTAGCAATGGGACAAGGCATTTGTATCAATAAGGTTATGACTTTGTTATGGTAAATTTTAGTAAATTTCATAGCAGATGTGAAGGGAGAAAAGTTATATTCACAGAGAAGTTACCATGCATAGTTGATGCAAGTTTAAACCAGTTAAACAATAATCTTACTGAGTACAGTAAAAGCTTTGTTATCCGGCACCCATGGGGAATGGAGGGTGCCGGATAACAAAATACGCCGGATAACTGAGTGGCCCAAACAGGTGTCTTTGCCCGTTCAGGCCACCGCCTGTCCCGCCACATCTGGGGTGTTGCCGATCCTCCTGCCGCGTTGCTGCCCCTCCCATGGGCCCTGAGGGACAGGGAGGGGGGACCTGCGCAGTTTGCTATGCCCCAGGCCATGGGGGCTTGGCAGTGCAGGTTACTTTCTCCTGGGTCGTGGGGGCTCCATGAAACCAGAAGTGCCATGGTGGGCACTTCCGGTTTCACTTTTCCCTTACAAGCTGGCATGCTGATTAACAGAGCGTACTGACTTGTAAGGTGCTGGTTAACACAGCTTTTGCTGTACATTGTTTGATGGAGGTGCACCACCTCATGAGAGCTGTAGTTGGGGGCATTACTGCCCTCCATTTTCTACTGTAGGGTGACATCCCTAGATGGACTACATCTCCAACGATCCTCTGTGGTCTCCTCTCTGAGTTGCAGGCTGTATGAGCAGTCATGGAGTTTCATCAGATTTGTGGTTTCCATTACCTCCATGTAAGTGGGTCCTTTATCTTGCTCCCTTTTGCAGGCCAGTTAGCTCTGCTCAGGCAGTTCAATTCCCAGCAAACAAGCATCAGTCTCTGACAACAGAAGGAAGACAGACCCAAATCCTCTGTCCTTTCTGGACATTAGAAGAAAAGCCACTTTCCACTGTGGCTTTTTCCCAGCACAGCAGCCTGGTTTCTCCTTGCAAGCTGTTCACTTGCAGCTGGCTTCCCTTCTGCTCTCTCCTGTGGGGTTTTAAACTCCCAGTTGGGCATTCCCTCATTACCAGAATACCACATAGCTGAATGTCCTTAACAGGGCAGGGTACTCCTTCTTAATGGGACAGATCACTGTTACACTCCATCACTGCTCTGACAAAATTGTAGCTTTCTATATCAGCAACTCTGAGCATTAAATACTGATTCCTTAACCAGACCTATGCTATATGCCTTAGACTGATTGCTGCATTTCAGTAGTCATCAGCATTCAGTTGGAGGACACTTCTGAATGTGTCCTGGATGATAGAACTTAGTCTTTGAAAATGTTCTAACTAGGTTATTTATTAGTTATCATCACCTCCCTTCCGAGTTCAAACTTGAAACACTGGATGTTAGCTCTCTGTTTGTTCATGGCTGCTACATTATAATGGATTCATGTGCCTCTGTGAGGAGGCAAAACAACAGAGAACACAAACAAGTCCCTAGATGGCATCTGCAGGCCAATCCTGATATACAGTGAGATCCCACTATCAAGCAGAATTCATAAATTGTCCAAAGATAGATTCACCAAATTGCCAGAGGACTGAAAACCGTATGTAAACAGCTTGGAATGATGGCAACTTCTCATCCAGTCCATCAGCTTGACTAGCATCCATAACTGGGGTGTGGAGCAGTGTACAGGTCTGCCACCCAACCCTGAAAAAGTTACTGCCCAAGCTTTAATGCATAGGTAAGGCTGAATTTCACAATAAGTAACCAAAAACTCCTCAGACTTTACTTTTTAAAATTTCTGTTTATGAGAGCTAGTTGACGCTAGGTGTCATAGGTGGAGTTTGACTCTTCCATTTAGAAAGAGGTACTGCCAAAACATACAATGCAAGCCAGCAACTCCACAGTGTCTGGTGTGGGGATGGCGCCCAAAACTTAGAGGGCATTTATACACATACATTTGTCTGCTCCGATGCAGAGATCTGGCACAGCGGAGCAGACTCGATTAATTGAGTCTGCTCCACACGCAAGCTGACACACCTGACGTTGCATCACATGCATTTCTATAAACAGCTAAATGCACGTCAGCGCTGAGCAAATGGTGGCAGTGCACTTTTGAACTAAAACACTTTCAATGTGTTTTAGTTCAAAAGCACGCCACTGCCATTTTCTCAGTGCTGATGTGCATTTCACCATTTATTCAAATGCATGTGCTGCAGCACCAGACTTTTTGCACTGGGCTTGCGGTGCAAGCACATATATAAATGCCAAGAGGGTCCAAGACTAAGATACTTATGTAAAAGTTTTATTTTGAAATTGGTTAGGGGTTGGGAGTTGGCTTTAGTTACAAAATTGTATTAAATAGTAAGTATGGTGTAATTTCTGCATACAATTACTGTATCTACCTGAATCCAAGATGACTTTGAATTTATAATTAGTGGAGGCCTGTCTTAAAGTCATCCCTCCCATGGCTTTGGTGGGGAAAGCAACAGCAGGGGCAAGGGGCCAGACCCCTGTCCCTTACCTCTTTCCCACCCTGTCTTCCCTCCCTGGCCCTTGCCCATTCTGTGTTTCCTCTGCCTTTCCCCTAACCATGAGCCCTCCTGCCTTCTGCCTCCTGTTGTCTGTTCCTGCCTCTTTGCCATGTGTTCCCCGACTCCCACACATCTAGCCCCCCTTTACTTGAGATTCCTGTCATCCTCAGTGCCTGGCCCTTGTGCCTGTGCTTGCCCCCCCCCCCCCCCCCTCTCTCCCCCCCCCATGTTTCCTCCTACCACCTGTACCCCTTCCTATGCCTGCCTCCCTACCCCCCTGCAGCTTACCTTCTGCTGCATCTCTTCTCCTTTTCCTGGGCAGTCAGCACTGGTGGTGGCCCTGGCTTGGCCAAGTGAGGTAGGAGTGGCAGCAGCTCCAGCTCCAGTAGGAGCCAGAACAGAAGGTAAGTAGCAGCAGGGTTGGGTTGCATGGTGTAGCTGGAGCACTCCCCCCTCCTGTGGTATACCCCCACCTGCATGGTACATGGTCCAGTGGTCCAGGGGTCCCAGGAGCACTCCCCCCTGCATGGTGCACCACCCCGCCTGCACCACATGGTCTCTCCCTGCACTCTCCTTGCCATATACCCCCTCCCATGCCACATGGTCTCCAGCCTGGGGTGGAAGCTGGAACTGAGTTGCTGCTTGCCCCAGGCCAGTACTTGAATCTAAAACAAGGGTCCTATCCCCCACCATGTTTACTGGTGGGAGGAAGCCTCATCTTGGATTGGAGTAAATATAGTACAGAGATGAAAACGATTTGTTTCTAACTTGGTCCTGTTTTATAGATGATTTTCTTTGGTTGAATCACATCATAGAATTGTTCAGCCTGAGAGTCTGAGCTCCGATTGATTATATTCACAGAAGCCCAGATCAGATTTCTGAAGGCAAAGCTGCGTGTTATGCAGGAGGAGCTAGATAATGTAGTGTGTGAGTGCAGTAAAAAGGTAAGAATGAAGTGTTCCTACTATGCAGAGACTGACAGTGCTCCCCATACATAAAATATGTCAATTACTCTATACTAGGATTCATGGAGGGGTGGTTTTGTTTCTACATTTTCTGTTATTTAGGATATAGGCTTCTATGCAACTATTTTTTCTCTTAAGAAGCCAGAGCATAGAGTTTGATTCATCTATGTTTAGTGTTTAATCTAAGGATATAGAAAGATATACCTTATTTTAAAAAATCCAAATGGAGTTTTAAATTATCAGATTCTATGCTTAGATATGCTTAGATTCTAACTTAGGTAAGAAAGAGTAGTTAAAAGGGAGACATCTGTTCTAAAAACAAAATAAATCTGTTATTCAACATTCCATGTTCATTTTAAGATTAGATTTACTACAACACTCAATACCTGAAACTGTACCCTAAAGCAGAGTTTGAAGTTGATGCAAACTTTTTGCAGTGATGTTTTAAACTGAGAGCATTGTACACATGGATTTCATGTTCTGTTCAGTCTGTTAGTCTATTTTCAGGTGCTATTTAAATGAACGTTTGAGCTGTAAAACCTTAAATGATGTGGGCTGTGTCTACTTTGAAGAGTACCTCTTGCCATCATAATTGTGATCAACTGAGATTGTGGAGTTGCCTTAGTTCCTTCAGACACGAGACTTGCTGGCAGATCATTTTCAGTAATGGAACACTGAAACATGTTTTTCTGCCCTTGTTCTTCCTCATAACACATATACTATGATTTTCAGGACATGCTGCAAAGTCCATACATTTTCTCTGGCTTATCTGGGCCTGGGAGTAAGGGAGAGGTTTCTGTGGAGTAGAAGTCTGGACAAAGTCTTCTGATGGCACTGGATTTTATAATTTTTGCATATGTCCATAGATGCTTAATTGCATTTTTCTCCACTTGGGAATAATGGCTTGGGAATTGCATTACTCAACCCAAAAGTTCTGTATATTTGTTTTGTTTTTAATTATTTTGTTAGCTTAGGTGTTGTGTATTGCACACAGTTGGGAGGTCTACTGGTAATTATTAGGTGATGGAAAAGTTTTTAAAATCAAACCACTTGCAAGAAATTCTTACTGGCAACTTCTTCAAATTAAGTTGTAGAAAAATGAGCATTGCAAATCAAAATACTTTTTGAAAGCATTCAGTATTGTCTAAAACTGCTAATTGCTCAACAGGATGATGAAAATCGGAATTTAAATTCTCAGCTTAAAGATACTGAAGAGGAGCGCTCTAGATTGCAACGAACAGTTGGTGTACAGCAGTCTCAAATTGAAAAGTACAAAATACTGTCAGAGGAAGCAAACAGGAAAAGTGAAGGGTTACAGCAACAGCTTACTGCAGTAGAAAAGGTAATGCAACTACTTATTTCCTCATCCTTACCAATGGACAGAATATCTGATTACCAAATACACCTGAGTTTTCAAAGATTTGTATTAAGCTCTTCAGTTAGCATGCTGAGTTCTGTTACAATTAAGTGTACATTTTATTTTAAAGAAATCTAATTGTTTTTAAAAAAGACATAAGTAACTTCAAGGTAATTGTTCAGGAACTGCATATGGATTGTGTTTTTATAATCAGTTTCTGGTATTAAAAAAAGAAGTCCCTATTTTTTTTTTTACAGCAGGTAAAACTAGTTAGTTGCAATCTAGCTCACAAAAGGAAAAAGTAGAAAAATATTTCTCTAATATTTTTAATGATAGTAGTCTTAAGTTTTACTTGTGATAATATAGGCTTAAAATACATTTATGCATGGAGTAGCATTTGGATTTTTGTTTTTTGTAAACCTAATCTGTTCTTTTAAAAGCAGTCACTCCTGTTTTAATGAATCAAAAACAAACCAACCAGCCTGGCATCTAGAGTAGGCCACATATGCAAAATTGTGTATATGCCTGATTATAGCAGATGGCCAACATACACAGCTTTGTTTGTTTGGAACCTGAAGTGAAAAGCAGCATGTGCTTTTCTTTAATTACTCAGAGCTGGAGAGATTCATTTTAAAATCAAATGTAACTGTGTAAGAAGGAAGATGTTTCCTTAAAATGATTCAATGAAAAATAAATGCATGACTTACTTGCAGCCTAACACTATTGTCTTCTATACTTCTAAGCTATACTGTAGCAATGATCATAAATAGGTTTTCATTCTAAAAATTCATGCTAATTTAACCATGCAGCATTAGCACCTTTTAACTAGTAAGTGAGGGAGGTATTGAAAAAAATCTCTTTTGTGCAAGTACTTTAAAACAAAACAAAACTGAGTTCTGTAGGTATATAGAGTAAAATTTTGTCTGCATATAATAATCTGTGTCTGTACTACTGTAGTAGCAAACATTCAAGACACATATCCTTGAAGTCTTAACCTTTGTTTATTATTATACTTTTGCTGCATTTCACTAAAGAAAAACTTACCTTATTTATAATCTTCCCAGCACTCTCAGCAATCAAACTTTTGAAAAGTATGCATTAGTGTCTATTGTGTTTCTGTTTGTACATCCCAAATATACAAGTGTTTTTTAATATATGTGCTGTGGATACTACTTGACATTGCCTGTCTGGATAACTGTTAACAGTCACTTTAAAATCCAGGTAACTTTTGTGTGGAAGGTCATATTGCTTAAGCTATACAAAAATTAGGTTGTGATGTATATTTTCTTAACCTTGCTTAGGTCCCCCAGGGCTTTTGAAATTTCTTTGCTCTGAGAACTGTTTTTCTGTATGTATATCAGAAAGAAGCCCCAGGAAGCTTCTTCCCTCTATGTTGCTGTACCTCAACCTGAAATAAACTTGGTAATCATTGTGTTTACCTTACTGGCCGCATCCAGACAAGTACAGTATGTGGCCATATACTGCACGTTCCGTTGTTTTCCACACTGCAAGGGAGCAGTGTGGAGAAAAATGAAACGTGCAGCAGTATGTGGCACCGCAGGCATGTAAGGGAGCAGTGTGGAGGGATTTTTGACCCCTGGACATCCAGGGGTCACAAAAATCCGTGGAAAAAAAAATGTGGAGTGGTGCAAGTGGTGGCAGCATGTGCCTGGCTGCCGGTGTCACACTCTGCTGCTGGCCAGGCTCCACATGGCAGGATTGCCGCTGCTGCAGCCCCAAGAGGTCCCCAGGACCCAAGGTAAAGCTGCTGGGGCCAGCCTCCCCTACACCACCTGGGGTAACTTGCTGCACATCAGAGCATGCATGGCATGTGTGTTTCTTGGGGAACCAAACATCCATGCACATCTGGACATGGCCACTGTAGAAAAGGATTATATTGAAGTCCAGGGGGCTCTTACATTCCTTTCTGGAGCTGACCATGCAGTTGAACCTACAGCACTCAAGCTCTCTTTGCTTATCCCTTCCCCACTCCATTTTTTCTCAGTCTTTACAGTTGATGTCTGTACTTTCAGAGAGTGAATGCAATATGCGGATAGAACTACTGAGATAGACGGTCCCAAGTTCTGGAGCATCCTTCCAGTGAGATTTTTAGACAAATCATTTAACTGGTTTGCCTGTGTAAGAGGATGATGCTATTGCTTACTTATTTCTTAGGGTTTTGAGGATTACACATAAAATAACATGGATATATGTTTATTTTTATCTACTAGCTGGAGAACCCTTGTACACATACAGTAGCTACTGAGTCACTGGCACCAAACATTTCCTTATGCTTCTTAACATTCTGTTGTGCTCCAAAATGCTAGATCACTGGAGATGAGGAGGAGATGTTACCCTTCATTTGTTAACACAGTGGGTGTTCTTGAGGAAAAAAAAATATCTGGAAAGGCCTAACATAGTAGATTTTTTCCCCTTCCCACAGTAATTTAAGTGGGTAAAATTATTTCAGCAGTTATATAATCTGGTGAAATGTATATATTTTTTTATATGTATATAATTTGTATATTTTTAGAGAAGGGTTGATTGAAACCTTAGCTGCTTACAGTTAACAAAGCAAAAATGCTACTTTTTTCTATAGCACTAATAACAAGATGTACAGGTGATTTGGAAGTATTCAGCAAAATGCCACCATAGAAGAATCCACAAAATATGTTGACAAAGAGCATTAGAAGAGCTATTATAATAATCTGTTTGTTAGTTGATAAGGTTAGCTGATTGCTTTTATGACATCAGCTGTTCGAAAGGCTGCAATGCAGAACTTTAAATTGCGAAGTGGAATATATGGTACTGGGTGCATCTACATGAGACGTTTACTGCAGTTCCCTAATTAGCTCCAAAGTAAAGTGTCAGTGTCTACACTTGCAGCCTGTTAAACCACAGGAAACTAATAAATGCTGCTGTGTTTACAGTGAGGGTGGTCAAAACTAATTATTATTTGTCCCTGGCTACCTGTTAAAGATGACAAGGTGCCAATGGCCGCAGGACCTAGGGGGAGCCTGTAGCAGGACCTAAGGGCAGCAGGACCCAGCAGCTACAGCAGCAAGGCTTGCCCTGCCCCATCCTTCCCCCCCAGCCCCCAACCTAGCCTTTGCTTAGCAGAGGCTTTTGGCCTGGTGACTTTGGGGCTGTTTCCCTGCCCTCATGCAACTTAGCTAAGGGGGTGGGGGGGAAAGAGGACCGCCAGTGATTGCCCCAGTCCTCAGGGCTGGGGTGGCTCCTGCTGTATCATGTGGTCCTGGTGATGCAGCCGGGAATCATGGGGTGCCATAGCATCTGGCAGGCGGGCAGATGGAGAGAAGTGGCAGCAGTGGGAGGGAAAAGGTAATGGTTGCAGCAGTGGCAGGCGAGGCAGTGAGTGGGAGCACAGCAACAGCTGGGTGGGAGCGTGGGGCCTGCACCAGTGCCCCAGGGCCAGGGCTGGCAAGGGCCCAGGGCAAGATGGCAGGAGCACAGGGTATGGGTTGGCTCTGCCCCTCTCTCTGCTGGCACAGCCTGGCCCGGCTCCATAGAGCCCTTGCCAGCCTGCGGCCTGTGCTCCTGCCACCCTGCCCATTGGCCCTGGTCCCAGAGCACCAGCATGGGCTATCACTGAGCTCTCGCCTGCTACCTCACCCACCTGCCACCACCACTTTCCTGCCAACCACCACCATTTCTCCCCACCCTCCTGTCCACTCACCCGCCTGCTGGCTGCTCCAGCACCACATGGTTCTCGACTGCATTACTGGATTACAGGACGCAGCAGGAGCTCATCTGGCTTGGCCTCTGCGATTCCCAGCTGGCTCCATGTGGCGCCAGCTGGGCTGGGCCGGTTCCTGCTGTGTGGACCCAGCCATATAGCCGGAAACTCTGTGGTACCAGAGCAGACAGCAGGGTTGTGGGTGTAGAAGTAGTGGTGGCAGTGAGCAGGAAGGTAGGGAGGTGGTAGGAGAAGGGCAGTGGTGGCAAATGGGGAAGGTGGGGGAAGTGGCAGTGACTGGGCAGGCAGGAGCACAGGGCCTGTGCTGGTGCCCTGAGGCCAGGGGTGCTAGGAGCGCTGAGCCTGGGCTGACAGAAGCACTGGTAGGGGCTCTGTCTGCCACAGGCCCTGACTGCCCTGAAGCCTCATGGCCTGCTGCTGCCACTGGTGGCAGGGGCTGTGGGTACCCACACCCCACCTTATACACTCCATACCCCCTCACACACACCAGTCACCCTCCCCCTCCACACATGCTACAACCCTCCCCAGCCACCCTCCCCCACAAACCCCATACCCCATATCCACACACATACCAACATGCTCCCCCACCTCATATACATACACTCATATCCCCCCAAACCCATACACACGCAAACCTATCCATCCCCCACAAACCCCACACACACACACACACCTTCCCCCACACCCCACATACACGCATACCCACAGCCCCCCACAAACTTATGCCCACACACCTATACCCCCCAAGCTCCCCCTAACAGACTTACAAGCCAGATGTTGCTCTCCAAGCTTCCAGGCCGGCCATGTGCATGCCGTGGCTATGCATGTACATGGCGTTTATCAGCGACGTTATTAGCCACATCAGCCAAAAAATCCCATTGCCAACAATGTCAATTTTCCTTTTATTGGTGCTGATATGATATGGACTGATGTATTGGTGCACCTCTAGCTTCAACATCTTGGCATAAAGTTCAAAATGGTAATGTTATCAAAACAAAGAGTTGCAAAACATCCTGTTTTAATGTTTGTTCCTGGAAACAGGGTTCAATTTCCAGCTAGCTGGTTTACCAGAAAAACTGTATGCAAGTGCTGGAGGAAAAGAAAGTGAACCCTGCACGGCCTTTTAGCTTGGCATATGGGCAGGCAGTTGACAAAATGTGGTATAGCTAAACCTACATTTATCCAAAATTTGAGGATGGATATTTAGCAGCAGAGTCTAGGAGTATTAGTCAGATAAAAATTATTGTTTCCCCATCTTTTTTGTCTGTATCAAACCTTTTCTATATATGATCCAGTGGTAATATACCATCATTCCTTTTTCGTGTAAATTTGTCAGACATGTTCCTAATTTCCATATTTACCTTAATCCAAGTTGATTATAAATTTGTTATAATTTTCCAGGGATAGAATCTAATCACTGCAATTAATTTTATTGTCTTAAATTTGTCCCCTCATCACTGCAGTATGAGGGCAAGTGGTGGGGGCAAGCACTGGGAAGGCAAGCAGGCTGATTCCCACCCTTTCCTACTTATTTGCCCCTCCTCCCCGGCATCTCCAACCTGCACCTGCTGCTTACCCTGTGCAGCAGCTCTGGCTCTGGCCTGGGAAATGGAGCATGTGGTTCTTCTGGCCCTAGCCATGCCATGGCAGTGCCCCAGGTTGAGGTTGGGGCTGGGGCCACAGCTGTAGCCACTCCCCTGCCACTGTGCAGTCCCCCTGCATTCCCCCCTACCCACACAGCCTGTGGTCTCCCCTGCACTCCTCCAGCCCCCTGCACCACACAGTCTCCCTTGTGCTTCTGCTGCTCACTGCACAATCTTGCCCATGCTCCCCACACCACGTGCCCTCTCCCCCACTGCACAAACCACCCTGGCTTTGGTCTGGCAGCAACAGCTCCAGCTTCAGCCCTGGCTTGGGGCACACAGCTGTGGCTTCAGCAGTGGTTGCCTCCAGGAGGCTTTTTTTTCCTCATGTGGAATGGGGGAAAAACTTTGTGTTGGATTTGAGTAAATAAGGCAAGTCATTTTTCTGACATAAATATGCATATGAAGGATAGCTCACAGTCTATATAGTTTCAGAAAGGTTCATATTTAAACAAATAGAGAAAGTGGGACACTGTTTCTAAAAGAAAACTCAAAATGAATTTAAAAAAATATACTATCCAATTTTAAATGGTTCCTATCTTGCTTACTGAGTCTTCCTTTTCCTACAACTACTTTTGAAAATATAACTCTGTTTTTCTAGAGATATTTTTAATGTAAATGATAAGGGCCTGTTTCTGCCAGGATATGTTATATTCTTGGCTTCTGCTTTGTCATCCTCTGATCCTCTTTATCCTCTGATCTCTTCTCTCATTACTCTCTTCTAACGTGTCTCTACCTTTTGCTTTTTCCTCACCATTTCCCTACTTATGAAACTATCAAATCCTGGCATCAGAGAAGTTAGATGCAGCTCAAGTGTTTATCATCCTGACTAGGTAGCTCACCAACTGGTTCCAAAGCAACTTAAATGTTGCAACGTAAGTTCAGTGTCACTGGCCCATGGTGCAATTCTGTGGTCTCTCTTGACCCATGCTCCAGCATTCAAGCAAAAGATTTGGAGACAAATGCTAGAAAGGGGTGTATTTCTAAAGGGAGGAAGGGAGAAACTGAGGGAGAAGTTTGAGTTGTAATATTAGCTGGCCTAAATTTTGATTCTACTCACAGGCCAAACCAAGCAGGTTTGTAGGATGTCCCCTGCTCTAAACTTGTAGCTTGCTGGGTACTCACTGAAGTGTGATTACTTAAAAAAAATTCTTTCATTTTTGGCTTCTACAGGAATTAGAAAATCTAAAGCGTGTACAGAAACAGGCTTCAACCAGTCAGAGTGCAACAGAAGTTCGCTTAAATAGGGCCCTTGAGGAAGCAGAAAGGTATAGAATGGAGCTGAATAAACTGAAGCAAAATAACAAGGTACATCTAAAAAAAAACTTGAAGAGCAATACTGAAATGAAACAAGGTGCTTGATCATGTACTGACTGAATATACTCATATAATTGATGACAATAGGAGATTGGAGGATTTTTCTTCTGCTTGTAGATCATATCGGATCTGGAAAAAGTTATACAGGAAATTAGAATCCTGTAATAAATCACTTGATTTTTCTAGCTGTTTGAAGAGTTGAAAAATAATGTAACACATATGGGCTATGAACAGTGTATTTCTGGTTTATCTGTATTTTTTTCTTTAACTCAAGAGTTAAGTATATGATTACAAATAAAGGAAAGGAAAATGTTACTTCATTTATAAATGAAGTAGTCATATGTTGGCAAAATTTGGCTAAGTAATTGCAAGCCAGTATATTCCCCTTGAATGTCTACATTGGTTTTATATCTAGTAAAAACAAAACAAGAAAACAGGTCATAGACTAGATTGCCAGAAGAAACACAGTAAAATTATATGCAAGAAAAGGAAATATACATGAATACCAGTCTGTGTTACACCCAGATTACTCATGCCTCTCAGACACACATGCAGAAACCTTGTGTTAAAAGTTCCACTACCTCAATAATGTAGAAGCTCCTTATCAACTAGGTGCTCTTTTCTGTATCAAGGATATGTAAGGTACTAATAAGATCCAGCTTTCATTCCTTCTCAAATGTTTTAGTTCGCCTCTATTTGTACTTTTTGTGTTGTGTTAAAGTACCCACCCCACTGATAACAGGTTGTTTGTCTCTTCCCTGCTAGGATATAGCTAACCAAGAGCTCAAAAAATTTGAAGAATTAAAAATTCAAAACAAGAGACTGGAGAAACAAAAAGGGGAGCTAATGGCAGGTTTCAAGAAACAGTTGAAGTTAATTGATATTTTAAAGAGACAAAAGGTGAGTGTCAGTCAACTCAAAATTTCAAATTACACTTGTATAACAGTTGAGACTGGCACACTTCAGGCTACAAATGTTTATTGTCAAGATTGTCATGAGTATTTCCTGATAGTGATGTGGCAACACATCTACAGTCCTGAAAAATCAGTAAATGGCATGGATCAGCTAGGCTTCCTGTCACTGGGTTGCAGTACTGGCTTTTTCCATTACAGAGAGGACACAGACTATTTCTTGACTTGAATGTATCTTCTAAAAAGGAATATATATATATAGTCTTAGTGACACAGGCTGTTCAGCCCTGAGACCAAGGGTCTTTTCTGTTATTCATGGAGTAAATGTTGCTCAGATAACAATGGCTTCCCCTGATCTCCAGCCAATGCAGGGCATTCCCCTCAGCAACACATATTTTTTATTTAAAAAAGAACTTAAGATACATCAGCAGCTATAGCAGGTGGTCTTTCAGGACTAAATCCAGCTATTTTTCACCAGCTGCTTCAAAATGGGAGTAGCAGATAACTTTGGCAATGTTTGGCCTTCTAATCTGTGACAAGAGATGACTTACCTTATGGTTAACTTCTGTTCTCAGAGATGTGTTGCTTATATCTGTTGCAGGGGCACTAAAATGCCATGCTCCTAGAAGGGCAGAAACTGCGTGGCAACAGAGCCCAAAGAGAGAGGCAGAAGCCCAAGTGAAGGTTACCAGGGCTACAAGCCAGAAAGCAAAATAGCCTGCACCTGGTCAGTTGACCAGAAGGGGCAAAGCCCTGGGTCCATATAAACCCCAGGATGGGGCCTAGGGGGAGCAGTTCCCTGCTAGCAGGCAGATGGGAAGAAGCCTCCAGGGAGGAAGTGCCCAGTGATGCAGTAACTGCTTAATATGCTGCACCCAGGGCTAATGGGGCTCCATGAGCTATACAGGTACTGTTGGCCATAAGTTATTTAAGGGCCAGAGGGGAAGTTCTGTGCTTTTAAGGGGACAGAGCATGCCCTTGTATCTTTTGCATTACGTTATAGCCCAGGGGCTTGTGTTTTGTTTGTTTCATACCACCGGTGATTTGGGTGAGGCTATTTGGGGAAGGAGGCGGTCTCATAGGGGGTCCACTGCAGTGTGGGGACCCCAGTGCCAGAGAAGGTGCGGCACTTTGGGGTGCATAGACCCCTTTGAGGGCACAGAGACCCCTGGCGCCAGAGGGGGTGTGGCATTATATTTGGGGTGCAGAGACCCTGGCGCCAGTGGGGCGCTGAGTGAGACGGGGCTGCGGAGAGCCCAGGGAGAGAGGACAAGGGGACCAATTACAGCAAGGTCTAGGCAAGACAACGCCAGTACCATCTGCGAGGCTTGGGGCGTGGTAAAGGGGCGGTTAGAGCCATGCATATAGCCCATAAGGCTGGGGTGTCCCGGGACATTTGTTTTGAAATGGGACCCACGAGGGGTCCGGGACATCCATTACAACCATGCTTGGGTAGGCTTAAAGGCAGCCTCCCTATACCAATTATTCCAGGAAGACGTGGTGGGCGAGAATAGAGGGTTCCCAGTGGGCCAAACTGGTGTCGTCGAGGGTCCCTAAGGGTAATGCAGCCATCCTTAAGGACCCCATCCCGTGACAGTATCAATATTCCACTTGGTACACTTGGAAAAACGTTTGGATCATCAGTATCCATTGGTCAAGCTCTGCCCGTACTTCCCTCAGACCTCCTCCTACAGGCAAAACTGAGCAGGGCAAAGCCAGTTCCCATCTACACAAAAAGTAGAATTTTTGGTACAGTAGAATTGAAGGCAGGTTCTTCAACACATGGTGAAGAACACCGGTTACTGGAAGGTAAGTTACCTCATTTTCTTCAAACATTTTTCTCTCTGTGGTCCACTCCAAATGGCTGTCAAGCAGTGGTGTCAAAACTGAGAGAATAGTATTGGAAGTGTCACTTTGCCAAAGAAACAGCTCTGGCAGCCTGTCCTGTAGCAAGAGGCTTCATAAAGATGTGAATGAAGTACTACGTGACTGACCTACAAATCAAGGAAATGGGAACATTTCTGAAAACAGTTGCTGAAACGGCATGTGTACCCTTTCTCCCTCAAATTTTCAGCTCATGCACCCCTTTATATCTTGTTCTTGTTTTTAATGTTACCAATTATGTGATATAAGGCAGGCTACATTGACATTAAATAAGAAAAGCAGTTTGTTCAAACCCCAGACTGACTTTCTTCCTAGGCAATAAAGTTGCCATCTGAGGCAGATGGGTATATAACCTCATTCCTGAAATATTTCATGAGCAATTACATTTGTTAGTGACCATTTATGATTAAATGAGAAGTTTGCTCAGCCAGTCTGCTAAAACAGTTCTGGAAGGTTGACTGTTCTGATAGTTATTCACTGGTCTAGCTGCTGCTTCCTCCATTGGATCACTTTATACCCTCGTGGTGAAAATCTGTTTCTTTTTGGTTATTTATGTAAAGCAGGGGTGGCCAGAGTTATTTGCCTTGGGAGCCACACCCAATCCTGCACTGAAGTCGGAGAGCCGAGGGGGAGGAGGTATAGGGAGGTACTGAGTGACCCGTAGTGGAGGTGACCACCCCTGCACCGCTGAGCCACTCTGGCTTTCCCTGTGGAGAGCGTGCCCCTAGGTAAGCGGTGCAGCTGCAGCCCAGTGCTGGGCTGCGCTGTCCCTTGGAGCCACCTCAGGGGTGAAGAAGTGGGCGGGGCTCTCCCCCAGAGAACTGCAAGTACTGCACGGGTGAGCTGGATGGAGCTCGTGAACCATGGTTTGTGCACTATTGACATAAAGCATTACAGTTATGATGCCAGTCCCTGTTTAAGAGCAAAGCATTGAAAACTTGGTAATCAAATAGTTCAGCTTCTACTGTGCAGTGATATCACCAAGAGCGTATTTGCTTATGAGTAAGCAAATGGTCATGTAGGAGAGCATTCAATGTCTTACTAAAAAAAAAAAAAAAAATCAAGATATCATATCTATGGTTTCCTCCTTACTCACTAGCACAGTTACTCTATCAAAGAAAGAAAATATTTTGGTTGACACACGCTACTTTGGTTTGTTCTTCATAAATGTGTATTAGCTGTTTGTTATCATTTCAGTATCTTCTCTGTGCTGACAAATGGTTTAATTACAGTGCTTGTCCTAGCATTTTTTCAAAGCTAGGCACACTGGTCTAAGTCCTCCTGTTCCCCTTCTTTCATCCTCTCAGGTCTTACCTTACCTCCAATGAGTTCTTGAAGATCATCAGTAAAGGTGGAAGAGATTGGTTTAGCTGTTGACTTGAATATATCTATTTTATCTAAATGTTCTTTAATCTGTTTCCCTAATCTGGCCTGCACTCTTATCTTTTTATTATATTTAATCTTGTTAAGGATCTGATCAGTAAACCTTTCTTGTGATGACTGCAATGTGCAATACTTCAGCCCTTTTTTATGGCTTTTGTTATTTGTTGTCATTCCCCGGTAACTAATAGATCAGGCTTTCATTTTCCTCCTCTTCTAATGTACTGATAGAGCCTTTTCTCACTTTAATTTTTGGCCCTTGCTAGTTGTACCTCATTTGGTTTTAGCCTTTGTGATTTAATCCATATATGCTTGTCCTATTGTTTTTACTCATCCTTACTTATCCTTATTCATGTGTTCTTGTTTCCCTTCTGATTTTCATGTCCCAAATATTGTCTCAAAATATTCATCTTTTACTATACTTCCTTTCCTCCACATTGAAACAATTTGAATAGTTTGCTGTTGTGCCTTTAAAACAGTCTATTTGGCTAACTGCCAGCTCCTCTGCACTTTTTTTATTCTTCATACTATCTTCCAAAGACCCTATCTAGCAGTGGCCTGCATTCATTGTGGTCTGGGTTTTTTTTTAAGTGCCTTGTCTTTATTCTGCTTCTCTCTCACTTTTTTCTTTGAATAGAAAAGTTAATCATTTCATAATCCCTTCCACCAAAATTGTTTGACCTTTAGGTTTTTAACCAGTTCCTCCTTAGTATCGGCTGTTTTTCCTCTCCTCTCTCATAAGAACTTACTGTAACTTCCCGTTTCCCTTCCCAGATTTCAGCCCTTTCACCAAATCAGTTGGTTTTACTCACCTCCAGACTTTCAGTTGGGAAGTTAACATTTTAGGAGGGACTTTTCCCGTTTTCATCAATGGCTGCCAACTCTTCCCAATAGTTATTTTAGTGCAACATCTTCTTCATGGCAAAGGAAACTGTTGACACTAGCTGCATAGTCATGCATTGGTCTCAAGTCCTTGTTTGGGCCTTTGTGCTGAACAGGGAAGATTGACAAGAACACTTGTGTCCCTGGCTACTTTCTCATGACTCCTTCCGGCTTGTAATTACTTTTGATCTGCTCAGAGTCACATCCGGCAGTATGACTAGTGCTCATATGGATAATGGTCAGACCTCGGTAATCTTTGCTGCCGCCTCCTGCCATTAGGAACAGGTAGATCCTTCTCCCCAGCCACTGTGGTCTGTTCTTTTCTTATGGTCCAAGGACCAAATATCGGTTCTTAAACTTGATGGCTTGTGGCTTCAGATGGGATGTGGGGAGGGGCATCGTTCCAGGGAAGATAATAAGTCTCCTTCTTTCAGAACAGTTGGTGTTTCTTCCTTCCATAGTGCTGATGCAGTTTTCTTGAGCCAGGCAGCTTCCTTAGTCTGGATGACTATCTGTAGCTTGTTAAGAAGACATTTGTGTTCTTGGGACTCCTCACAACTTAGGTGCTGTTTGCTGTGGCTCATTCACTTGCTTCCTGAAGGACTCCATTAGCATCTCTCACACTAGCTGATACTTTCTGCCCAGATTCTTTTACCAGGGCCATGACAAGGCCAAGTTCCCATCAACTCAAGACTGGGACCTGGGTGGAGTGCTTGCAAGTCAGAATCTTAATCTGGCCACAAGGGCCCTTAGGTGCAATTGGAAGAAAGGAAATAGTACATTCAGGATTGTTAGTAGCCTATGTGCTGTGACACCCATATCAGCACAAAGGAAGCCCATCTCTAAACAGAGAAGCTGGTGGAAAATTAATTCAGCAAAATGGCTGTCACATGAAGTACAGTGTTTGAAACCAGGTGATTTATGTTCATGAAGACTGGAAAAGTAACCAGGAAATAAGAAAAAAACTTTACAGTTTATAATGCAGTTTTAAAAATAAGTTATCTGAAAAAACGAACATTTTCCCCAGTATCATAATAGTAGCTAAAACCTAAAGCTAATCTTTAAGAAGGCTTGCCACTAAATGTTCCTTCTTCCAATTTAAGTTGCAATTAGAAAATGCAGTAGTTCGCCATGGCCTGCCCTTGCTATGTTCTCAAGGGGAAGAAGGCATCTCAGGCCCAGGTGTGGCCCAGCCATCACCATTGATGAAAATGTTCCGGGGGAGGCACTGCAGGAGTGGACCAACAACAGCCACATTGATTTTAAACAAGCTTTTCTCTGAATATGTGTGTGCACATGTAGAAAATTAGGTTGGATCATCTCTACAATATTTGTATATTCAATTTAGATGGGTCCAACAAGTGGTAGTAGCCTGGAGGTAGAGAATATGCTATCATCTTGGGAACGAGAGAGAAAACATAAAAGACAATCAGGAAAGCAGAGAAATGTGACTTGTAGCAGTCAGCTGTTGGTGTTCAAAATGGTCCCCTTAGGATGGTTTCTAGCCATCTTGTTGGATTTAAGAGACTATTTCGGAAAGAGTCTTATTTATAAATGAAGGTTTTGCATAGAAGGAATCCTGACCTTCTCAGTGGATCGAGAGTTGCAGCCTTTTGCTATAAAGCGACAATATATTTGTATATAAAATCTTAAGATCCCTTTTGGCAGTTTCTAATGTGTCCTGTATTCTGTTAATTTACTTCCTTAAGAATACTGTTGTATTGAAGAAGAATCCATAGATGGGATACTTTCTTTGCAGCCTTAATTGTGTAAGAGAAAATACAAAAATATGTATTATCTTTTTACAAGCAGGAATAGTTTCCTCCTTTTTAAAAATAGTGTGGAAGTGAGAAAATTCAGTATCTAGTACAGTCTTTAACTTGTTTTCATTATTTGGCATCTGTAGTGCTTGGATGCCACTGCCCATCTTTGAAAGGTAGCTTGTTTTATCAGTGTGAAGCATCAAGAGCAAGTTCCTTATATTTTGATTGGCTTACCGTTTTTACCAACACTGGTAACGGTTATTTAAACAACTGTACTTTATAATTGCAAGACAATGGCATTTCTGAAATGTTTGTAGTATATACAGTACATTCTTACAATCTAGTACAGTACCTTGAGTGGACCTTAAGTAGTGGGATTGTAGAGACAGAACCTCTTTTGTAACTGGAAGAAAGCTGTGATAGATATAGTGAACTTGGTTTACTCAACAATTGATAGGCAACATGCATCTCCAGGGCACACTGTGATTTAGTCCACTGCAGCAAAGGTGCGTACTTTTATGTTTTTAACAGCTATGTACTGGTAGAGTAGCAGCTGATTTTTTTTATTTTTATTTTTTCCTATCTGAAGAGTAGCTGTAACAGTCTTCTATTTGTAGGGAGCTCAAAATAAACATTGGCATTTGGGATGCAGATCTAAAGATACTTTTTGATTCATACTAGCTATGACTACAAAAGAGGAAATGAATGCTGCGCTCTGGAAGGAAATGCACACTGATTTTTCTTGTAATCATTTTTTAAAAGCCCACAAGGTTTTCAGCCTTTCTTTAATTACCTTGTTAAAAACATCTTGACTGTCAAGAACCACATATGGGGGAGGGGTGGGAAAGTCCTAGTGTCCTATGTTAAGTTGTGTAATATCAGGTCAGTGAAATGTATTTCATTCTCTTTTACTCTCACATTATGCCTAAAATAGAGTATCACGGCTCCAAAAAAGAACAGGTACAAGGTTTAACTTCTCATTTTGTGCCTTTTTTGGCACTGAACTAGACTCATCAAAATACTCTGCCCATGGCGTGACATACAGAAAAAGAATTCTGTCCTTCACTTAAAAAAAACAAACAAAAAACCCAAAAAACCTGTTTTTATAGATACTTGATCAGCCTTAAATGTGTGCTTACTTATGGTACCATCTCTCATTATTCCTCATTAGCTATAATTAAATAATTGTCTTTTTTTTTTTTTTTTTTTATAGATGCACATTGAAGCAGCCAAGATGCTTTCTTTTACTGAAGAAGAGTTCATGAAAGCCCTTGAGTGGGGAAGTTCCTGATTCACTATATAACCTCTTTGAAAAATCAATTAGCTTGTATACCATTTTGGAAATATAAAGTATTTTTAGAAAAGAGAACATACATGTCATACTTCTGAATAGTTTTAGGGGTTTTTTTGGTTGCTCATGTCGAAATTCATCAAATAACAGCCTAAACATTTTAACGGTTGAATGTAAATTGCGTTGTAATATGCCCTGAAATATAATCAGAGCAATTTAGATAAGCAGCCAACTTGTCCGTTTCCCCTTAGCTGTAATGAGTCAGACATGCAGCAAGGAGAGCAGATTTTATTGAATAAACTAAATTTCAGTTACCAGGTTTTTATGGCTTGTTCTTAGATACTGTAGTTTGGATTGGAGGAAGTATTTTATCCAAATACAAGGCAATTTTAATCTCAGAAAATAAAGAGAACAGGTTTTTTTTGGGGGGGGGGGGGGGAGTTGTTTTTTTTAATGTCTCACGGGAAGGAAAAATAGAACTGATTCATTTTACTACTTCATTCTGAACAGTGTGAAACTACTCAATTACACAAACTGAAGTGCATATTATGTGTGGAAAAAGGGTCCCCATGGGTCTGCGAATTTGGTGGGGGGGGGAGCAGGGTGGGGCAGTGGCAATATTAATTACTGCGGCTCTGGGAGCCTCTTCAATGCAATGCTACCTCGACACTGTACATTCCTGCCCCCTCTCCCCAGCTACATACCAGATTGGGCTGGTGCATGGGAATGGGCCATGGCCAGACCTGGTGTGCCAAATCTGACCCAGCACATGGTCCTGAACTTGGCATACCAGGTCCAATCCCACATACTGGCTAGAGAGCTACATGGTTCTGAAGCAGTGTAGCTGGTTGTATCTAGCACACGGCACTGAAGCTGGTGCAGTTGGCTCTAGCCCCACATCTGATGCACTTGGATCAGGCCCCAGTACACAGGGTTGGGGCTGGCAAGTGGCTCTAGTTCTAGCGCCAGCCGGCACATGGGGCTGGGCCTAACATATGCCTCCAGTCCTGGATCTAGTGGGGTTGGGGCTGGCCCTGGCCCTGGCCCCGCATCCCAGTGCATGGCTCTCAACTACCAGTCTGTAATGCACGCCCCTAGCCCTGGAGACCGCAGACCTCAGATGCATACCCCTTTGTCAGCTGGTGCCTCCCGGGTCTGGGGGAGCACTGCGGTGGGGGGGTTCTGTGCTCTTGTGGGATGCTCCATCTGCCCCATCATCTCAGCATTCACAAGCCACCTGGTACCTCAAGGTGTGTAGAAAAACATTTAAAGCTGTGTCTATGGCCAAATCGATGATTCTCCCAATCAGCATCAAATCTTCAGATTTGGATTTGGCTGAATTTGAATCGGGACAGTTATCCAAATCAACGAATCGAATCACTGTCCCCTGAAGGGGGCTGAATCCGAATCGAATACGGCCCACTTTGCACACCCCTAATTGAAGTGTCTTTATTTATAAAAGAGTGAATAGGTTGTTTATCAACTATGTAACATTACACACACACACACACACACACACACACACACACACACACACTCTCTCTGTATGTATGTTAGCTCTCTAATTAAAAATTCCCCATAATCCAATTTAGAACTATTGGTTTGGTATCTGGAAACAAGGTGAGAGATCTGCATTGCTTCTATGCCATCGGATGCTCTAGAGGGCATAAACAAGGCTTTGCTATTCTCATCTATTGTGTTGTGTGCCAGGACGACTACCTTTGTGTTTCTCTTCTTTCCTCATAAAATGTTACATTATAGTAAAGGTTGTTGGCCTATCATCTTGCCCTAAACCAGGACAACCAGCTAACTGCTTTTCAGCTGGAGCCTGCCCTTTTAACTTAAGTGACCTGGGTGGCCATAGCAGGAGTTAAATACAACTCTTGTCGGTCTAACTCTTACAGTCATTAGAAGACTTCTCACTGCATCAAAGTGCAGTATCAAGGGATGAAGACGAGATGCTGTCCCTTTTATTATTTTATAAAAAGAAACATTTCCATATTATATTTATGCCTTATACTCCACATTTATTTTGGTTTTTAGAAAGATTAAATGCCATTTGGGAACAGTATGTTTGCCGCCTCGAAATGTAGTAGCTGAATACTTGAAGATAAGCTTTATAAAAGATATTGATGAGCTGCCCCAGTAAATTCACCTTCCTCTGTTCTTATTCCTTCCACCACTTTTCCTCTGCTTCCTTACCTGTAATGTAGCAGTTTGAAGATAGTCACACTATTGGAGAGTAGATGCTGATGTTTAGATTACCATTTAAATAATGTAATATAAATGCAGATTTGGAGTCTTTAAATTATCACTTTAGGAGACTTGTATAGTCTAGTGGTTCTCAACCTTTTTATATTTAAGGCAACCTCTGTAACTTGTAATAATTGAGTGGCATCCTATTTCAAAAGCCAGTTTATTTAGTACAGTGTTTACTACCTTGTATAGGGGATGGGCAGTAGGGATAGCAGAGCCACAAAACCAGAAAAGCCTCAGCCTGCCCTTATTTGCACCTGCACAGCTCCCTTATCTCCTCACATTTCCTGCAGCACCTTTCAAAGGATCTTGCAGCACTCTAGGGTGCTCTGACACACTGGCTGAGAGTTGATCACTGGTACAGTGATTAGTCCATGCTAAGATAGTTTATGTAACTACAAATGTGTAATGAAAATGTCTGTAGATCAGCCAAGTTAGTGGCATGACAAATTATAATTTTTTTTAAAACTTTGTACTGAAACAAAATCTGCCACAAGTTAGTACCAAAGAACCATTTTTAAATTAAGCAATAAATCTTGAGCTTAAATTCAGGCTTTGTTGGGAGCAAATGTAATATTTATAACATCTACCTTGTAGTGGAAATATTCTGTTTTCCAAATTAAGACATTTTCTAACTTACCAGCAGAACCTAGAACTTGTGTTACAATCGGTCTATATATCAGTTTCCAAAGTGAAATCCCGATCTTGTATCTTACTTATAACTTGCTTGAGAAAAACCAGTAATGAAGAAATAAAATTTATTTATGTAAATCTGTAACTAGAATATACTTGAACATTTTAGCTAATCAATAGCTTAGTGCTCTCAGTATTGCAGGGCAAATCGTCTCCGAACACCAAAAAGGAATTTCTCACTGTTAACATCATGTACAAGTTATCATTAAAAGTCAGATGACATCTAGTGGTAAACCACAAAGATCACGTAAATTTCAGCTGTTGTCTGAAAAGACATCCCCTCTTCTTGTCTGATAAGCTTTCCTGAACTCCTCACCAAGCATGTTAACATCTTCTTGATCTTTGAGGATTCCCTGAAGTTAGAAAGGGGAAGAAACATTGTGAATGTTATTTAGCTACTGTAAGATTGTACAAAGGTAATCCTTGACTCTCTCTTCTGTATGGGTGTCTGTCTTGGTAGTATACTCTAGCTACACTCGTAACTTTAATAGAGAAATACCCTGCTCGCTTGAAAAAATTAACTGTTCAGATGAGTTTCTAATATGTAGACTGATAGTATTTTGCATCAATACATTTTTGTCTGACTGTTTTATTCTGTGTAATATGGATGTTTCCTGCCTAGAGCAGGGGGGCTGGACCTGATGATCTCACAAGGTCCCTTCCAGCCCTAAACTTCCGTGAATCAGTGATGGCTGAGAAAAATCCTGTTTTTTGGTATTACATTATACAGCAAAGTAATATTAATCTGCATACCACATCTGATAGAAGTTTCTGTAAAGAGCTCAGAACAGACTTTAAACTTAAAAAAACCAAAAACCCCCAAAAGGATTGCATTAAAAAGACAGTGGCTGGGTCAGCCAACATCAAGTAGCAGGAGACAAAAGTTCACTTACTCTAGGAAGATACCCCAATAATTTAGATGCGTGTTCTTTGAGGAGTTTCTGTCTCTCTTCCTCAACAACTGCACGAATATTTTCTTGTCTTCTCTCTTCTAACTGTCTTTCTTCAAGTTCACGTTCCTACAAAAAGCAATAAAGTTTTAATTAACATTCTTCAATTTTACAGAAAGAAACTTGTACCTAATATATGAAAGTTAGTAAAGAACTCTCTCGATGGAGCAAGCATAAGGCTTTCACGTCATTACTGTCATGACCCAAAGGGTATGATTTTGTGTGCGCTTCGGCACTGCAGAATTATTTCCCGCCACAAGGAGCTTTCTTTGCACGGTGCAATTTTCAGCTGCAGAGAGAAAACCCCGGTGCAAAGGAGTTCCCGCCACCCGTATGTAAATTTGTTTCCCACTATTGGCTGTTTCTAAATTATTCCCACGTGGCGGCTAGCGATTGGCTTGCTAGCGATTGGCTTGCTAGCCGTATAAGAGGCTTGAGCGGTTTCCGCCCAAGTTGGAGGACTTCACATCCATCTCGTGAAGAACTCTAAGCACGCTGTGGAGCCTAACAAACTCCGCGTGTGCCTTAGAGGAGGATACAGGGGCCTGATCAACCTCTAGCCTCTCCCTGTCGCCGCACGATCCCTCAACGTACCCTTCCCTGTGCGCTCGTGGAGAGTCACCTTTCGGACTCTCATTTCGGTCGGTCCACGGAGCCTAGCAAACTCCGTGAGTGGTATCCAGAGCTCTGTTCGTGTTCGTTTAGTGGAGCCTAGCAAACTCCGCTCGTGTGTCCTCGGTGGAGCCTAGCAAACTCCATGTGTGGTTTTTTTTTTGTAACTGCAACTCAAGAAAGTTTTCCTGCCTGCACCGTGACCACCTACGGTGCAAGTAAAATAATCTTTAATCAACCGCTACGCGTCCGTGCCTAATTCTAGTTCGCCGTGCCGACCTTTTCCCCGGCCCACGTGCCCGGGCTGCTGGCCACAGCCCCCCGGCCCCGACAATTACTAGGCTTCTGCATCATTTTGCAAAGAAGTAAATGTGTCCTTGTTATGATACAGTAGGTTGTTGCTAACAAAAGGTCATGCTTCAGTTAGTTCCTAAGGTGCCAGCCTGTCTTACCTTCTACTCTGTTATGGCTTTTGTAGAAGTAACAAAAAGGATGAGAAAGATGGATAGTGAGAAGCAAATACTGTTTAAATACAACTTTTAATAATTAGAAAAAGAGAAATTATAAGGCATGAAAAATAAGAATTAAAGTTATTTGGTTCCCTACTTTGTTTTTTCTACTGTGAAAATCCCTCTTTAAAGATTAATACCTGGAGGTAAAATACTTTCAAAATGGGTCTAGTTTTGGCCCTACTACTATAAGCCTACAAAAGAAACAAGAAAAGGAAATAGGGATATATTCTCATTTACAGAATTATGAACGTAAATCACAGCAAAGTTTATATATTATACTATGAAAACTAA